TACATTCAAAATTTTGTCAAAAACAGAGTGCGTGAAATCAATGGCAATTATCCTTCAAAGAGGAAGCGCCGAAGCGAGGCTCCATGCGTTAACGATTTTCAGGAGAATGGCAAAGACTACTTCCAGTTACAATTGGAATTTCTTGCTTCAACATTAAGGCATAGATTCTTCAAATCTCTGTTAGAGTTGGTTTCCGACGAGATTTGCAGCAAGGCGAGTTCATGTGCATTGGAGTTTCTAATCCAGATCTTAGAAACGTCAAAGAAGAGCCGATTCAAGGCGAAAGAGTCCGACGCCGTCTGCATCCTAATCGAGCTCTTACCTGACTTAAACAGATCCAAAAGCGAAAAAACTCTGTTTCTGATCAAGTTACTCTGCGATTTTATTTACAGGGCTGGATATTGCCATGTCATCAATGGGTGGGGTGTATTATCCACGTAAGCTTGTGAAAATTAAAAGAGGTAATTGGTGGAGATCTAACCGTTACAGGTATGCAATTCCGTGACAGAAGGACCATTTGAGTCCCAAAAAAATAAAGTTTAAGGATGATTTAGGTGCTTTCTGAAGTTAAAGGACGACCTAAGTTCCAAAAAGAAAGTTTAGGGACCAAATTGGGTATTAAACCAAAAAAAATGCAGAAATGGAGAGTAAAGGACACAAATTCTTCTAACATGAGGAAGTAGAAGAAGAAACAGTAATAATCAATAAAAAAATCTTCAAACAATCTTCAACCAAAAAGAAAAGAAAAGGGAAAAATGGGAGCTACCAGTGGCTTTGCGAATCTGGTAGTAATGGATCCTCAAGCTCGTTGTGGTTTCACTATAACTAACAGCAATTAGAGATTTTTGGGGAGAAGACAAGGATTATCGTGGTGGTCTGGGCGATCCTCGACGGTTGTTGACGGTTGTCGCGTGGCCCAAATCTGTAAGAAGACAAGGAACAAGAAGGGATTTTCAGTTAAAACTTTCACCAACTCACACTACCAACCAACAATCATCATTCATCACCACCAAATTATTAGCAAAAAACACCAAAAAAGGAAAAAAAAAAATCATAGAAAAGGAAGGAGACTCACAGAAGGAGGAGAAATGGGATTTTGGTGCTAATTAACAGTGGGGATTTTTCGGTGAGGAGAAATGGGCTTTTCTACTTTGAAGCAGTTAGGGAGAAAGAAGGCCGATGACCAATAGTGGGGATTTTTTAGTTTGCTTTGGAAGAAGATGGGCAAGAAGGTAGGGAGAAAAAACGCAGGATCAGCTGCTTCAGAGAGAAAGAAAGAAAGAGATAGGAGTTATAAAATGAACCCTATATATCGTAGTTTTTTTTTTTTTTTTAAATAAAAGGGAGTGTGAGGATAAAATGAGAATATCATATCAATTTCATTAACCCTCAAGCGAGAAGCTCCCACAGAAGCACGAAATTGGTGCTTCTAGGATTTGCAAAAGAATGGGGAGAAGACCAACTTCTGGGAAGCTGTAGCATGTTTGAGAAGCTATGGTGTTTGGTGTAGCTTGTACTTTTAAAGCCAAAAGACTCTTTTCACAATCTACACCAAACATGCTCTTAGTTGGCAACCAGTCCAAAACTAATTGCCAAATAAATCCACAAACTTTATGAGGGATTATTTGATTCCATACTTTTTCGAACAACTTCCTGTGAGGTGAGTTCCCATTAACCACCAATCTTGAGAGTAGCCAGAGCATGGTGAACCTTCCGTTGGTATTGAACTTCCACAACCAAGTGTCCTTGTCTCCTTGCCTCCTTGCCTCAATGTCATTTGTTCTAATATATGTTCAAGTGTTTGCAATGAATCTTGTTCCCATGAATAAAGTTCACGTCTCCATTGTAAATTCCACTTCCATGCTCCATTGTTCCAAATTCCCATCTAGTTCACCATATTGTCTCTACCTGCAAAGTTTAAATACAACCTTGGAAATTTGTTAGTTAACTCCCCTAACTCCATCCATTTATCCCTCCAAAAGTTTACACTACTAGCCTTCCCTACTGATATCTCAAAATCGTCAAAGACCCAACCACACTTTTACAATTCTAACACATCTATTCTACATATGTCTTGCCACCAACATGAACCTTTTCCCCTACCTTCTCTAACCTAGTCCAATTTTTGCTCCCACCTCCATATTTTTCTCTAATCATTTTAAACAACAATCCTTCCTTGCCTTCTGCTAATCTTCCCCACCATTTACCCAATAAGGATAAATTAAACAATCTAAGGTCTTTGATCCCCAGTCCCCATCTCTTTTACCTTGACATACCTGTTTCCAGCTTACCCAATGAACTTTTTTCTTCTCTTTACATCCCCCCATAAGAAATCCCTTCTAATTTTATTTATTACCTTTACTATACCTTTTGGAACGAGGTAGATGGACATAAGGAACACTGGGAGAGAAAAGAGCACAAAATTAAGTAGTGTGAGCCTTCCACCAAATGACAGCCAACCTCTCTTCCAACTTGTAAGTTTTTTCTTGAATAGGTCAACTAATGGTTGCCACATAGACAAATTTCTACGATTTCCCCCGATCATCACCCTAAGCTATTTAAATGGCAAGTCACCAATTTTGCAATGCAACAAGTAGGCCATTTTTTGTAACCAATGATCGTTCACCTATACACCAATTAGCTGGCTTTTCATAAAATTTATTTCAAGGCCTAAAAGCAGTTCAAATATCCTCATAATGCACTTGGCTGCCCACACGTTTTTCTCTGTAGCTTTCCCAAACAAAATGGTGTCATCTACAAACTGAATATGGGATAAGCTCGCACCATTCTGCCTCACTTCGCTTCCCTCAAAGATGCCCTTTTCAACAATTGATAGGATAATCCCATTAAAACCTTCTGCTACCACGAGGAACAAAAATGGAGACAATGGATCACCTTGCTTTAACCCTCTAGAAACCCCAAACTGTCTTGTAGGGCTTCCATTAACCAAGACTGACATTAAGCTCTTTTGAAGACATTCTTGGATCCACTTTCGCCATGTTTCACCAAACCCCATTCTCTTCATCTTATAATATAAAAAATTGCAACACACCTTGTCATATGCTTTCTCAAAATCCACTTTCAGTAAGAAACTATCTTTTTTCTTTTTCTTAGCTTCATCTATAATTTCATTTGCAAGAACCACTCTTCACATAACTATCTTCCTTCAAGAAATGCCATTTGTTGCTCACCAATCACTTCTGGTAGCACTACTCTAAGTCTGCTTGCCAAGATTTTTGATATTATTTTGTACATTGCCCCAATCAATGATATTGGCCTGAATTCTTCTATTCTTTGAGGGTTTGTTACATTTGGGATTAAAGTTATAAAAGAAACATTTGAACCCCTTACTAGTCTCCCATTCCTTTGAAATTCTTGAGCAAACCTAATCACATCTTCTTTGATCTCTTGCCAAAATTCCTTGAAAAATCTAAAATTAAAACCATCTAGGCCTGGTGATTTATCACATCCACAATCCCATACTGCTACCTTGACTTCTTCTTTGTTGAATGGTGCTACCAATGCACTATTTTGAGCAGTAGAGGTCTGTTTAAATGCCACACCATCTAGAACAGGTTGTTGCCAATTTTCTTCTCTAAATAATTCTTCAAAATATCTAGCAATTCCCTCCTTAATTTCCTTAACTCCCTTCAATTGCTTTTCATGAATCTGCACACTGTTAATCTCCAATCTACGGTGTTTATTTTTAATACTATGGTGGAAGAACTTTGTGTTTGCATCACCATCCATCAGCCATTCCTTTCTTGCCTTCTACCTAAGCATGCCTTCTTTCATTCTCAAATTCTCCTAGAGTTCTAAGAACATATCCCTCCTCTTTTCTACTTCTTGTTCTGTGAGTGATCTATCTTCTACTTTCATGTCCAGATTTGCTATTACCTTCTTACAGTCTTGAATCTTCCTATCAACTTTAGAAAATTCTCTGTTGCACCATTCCTTTGCTCTAGCTTTTACGAGCTTCAATTTTTCCTTCAATTGGTAACCTTTCCACCCCTCTATTTCATTTGTTCTCCACGTATTTGATACCAACTTCCTGAAGCTCTGGTGATTTAACCATACATTGAAGCACTTAAATGGCTTGGGTCCCTAGTTTATCGTATCCTCCTTTAGTAGAATCCGGCAGTGATCAGATAAGGATCTTTGAAGACCTCATTGCTTGATTTCTGGCCAATTCATCAACCATTCTTTAGAAAGTAAAAATTGATCCAATCTACTCATAGAACTTCCATTTGGATGATACCATGTGAACTTTCTCCCAATTAATGATATATCCACCAAATTAGCTAATTTGATGAAATCATCAAAACTTCTCATTATGCTTGTTTGACTACTACAACCTAATCTTTCAAATTGATTCCTTTTAGTGTTAAAATCCTCCATCAGGCACCAATTCCCTCTATTTTCGTTAATTAGCATTTGCAACTCCTCCCATAACTGCCTTTTTCCAACTGCCTTACTAGGACTGTAAATATTAATTATATACACTGGGATTTCTCAGTACCCCAGAAACCAACCACTCCTAAATAATTTGCTCTTCTATCTTTCTCATCATTTCAAACACCCCTCTTTTCCAAATACAAATCAACCCTCCCGATTACCCATTTGATGGTTTTGCAGCAAACTCGAAATCATTTGAATCCCAGATCCGCCTACATAGTTAACAATCAACACCTTCCACTTTTGATTCTTGAATTGCTAAAAATTCTACCTTCTTCTTCCCAACCAACTCTCTAATATCTCTCTTCTTACCATTCCCTCCTAAGCCTTTGATATTGTAAGATAACAAAATCATGGAAACAATTTACTAACCTTCTCCCCATCTATACCTCCTTTTTGAATTAGTTGTTTCTTGGCATTGCTATCCCTTTTCTCTAAATCTGCAATCCTCTATATCACCTCCTTTTCATTTGTGGTATTTATTTTGATCACCAATAGTAATTGTACTGTAGAATATTATCATTTGGTTTCTAAAAGTAAAAAATTAAACTATCCATATTCTCTTTCTTTTATTTAGGTTTTGTTTGGTATGACTAGAGCTTTTGATAGAAATCCTGTTAAAAATAATCTGTTGTAAAAGTGCTGTTTTTCATAAGCTGAAAGTGTTTGATAAATTTTTTTATAAAAGTACTTCTAGAGTGAAAAGTTGTTTAGTAAAATTTTTTATAAAAGATATTTTAATTCAATGTAATGCTAAAATGACTGAAATGGACATTTTTACTTTAATCATCACTCCCACTCCATTTTTTTATATTTTTATATAACTTTATTTTTATAATTAATTTAAGGTTGATGATTAAAAATTAATTATTCATATTTTAAAACATAAACGCTATATAAATGCTTATATTTTAATATTAAAAAATAAAATATACTACATTTAATCACCACTTCTAATTTTTTT